ATAATAAGGTTGTTTATAAACAGTTGACTATCTAATAATTTTAAACTTTATTGAATGATATAATATATTATATGATTTATTGTTGGAAAGATTAAATGCAGAAGCTAGTCTAAAATATGGACAGGATAGCATTACATGGCCAACAACAGTCGACGCCCAGCTTTTATCCCAAGTTTCGGGTGGACCATCAAAGGATGGGCGATTGTACGGCATGCCTATGTACATGGACCCTGAAGAGCAAGGGGTGTCATATCGAAAGTATCCTCGGCACACTATACCTAGTAATTCTGTTCAATCATCCCAACAAGTGGTGCAGTTACAACAAACCGTAACAGCATTACATGAGAATCAACAGACACTGGAAGAGAAGTTTGAAAGGATGGAGAGTGCTTTTTATGATGCAGGGAGGGATGCCAGGAGGGATGTAGGGATGGATGCAAGGAGAAGGAGGGGCTAGGACAAGTGGGGGAGCATAATAGGTGTTGCTCTCAGTTGATCTTTGTATCAAAACATCTTGTTCTATTATATATTTTAGGTATGTATGAGGTTAAGGCATTAAGATTAAGTAATTAGTATTTTAGGTCATAAATTGTTTAATTATGGTATTAGACTATGTTTTATATATATGTGTTTCAATTTTAAAGCTTTTACTTACATGTTTTAATATATATTAAAACATATGACTAATTAATTGGTAGAATTGTTTATATTAAATTATTTATAAAATTTATATAAAAAAGTTTGAAACAAAGAAAGCAAAAAGAGAAAAGGTGACGAAATAGGAAATAGAATAACAATTAAGGATTTCGTTAACTGATGTATATATATAGGGATGCTGTTGCTTCCCTAAACTCAATAGAACGAACTGGTGCTCACATGAATTCTAAAGAGGAGATGCACCTTTTGGGATGATTATTTTGGTCAGTGGCTATGACTGAAATAATGAACTATTTCGGTCATAGCCACTGACCGAAGTTAGGTAACTTATTTCTCACAAACATAGCCCAAGCATTGCTTGGTGTACTATGGTTTGGGTTTAGAATTATGCATATTTCGGTCATAATTACTGACGGAAATAAGCACAAACATATTGATCGAATAAATATGGCAGAATAA